GGGGGGGGGCGATGAGGGGATGGGAGATGCAGCTATCCTGCTCCTGTAAAGATTTGAAGCCTCTGAAATCCCATTTAGGGTTGCTGAGGGTCAGAATGGAAGAAGTACAGGAGAGGCAAGGATGTTGAGACTTGGACTTCCATACCTTGCATATATTTTCAGGAGAGACCAGTCCCTGGAGAAGAGACATCATGCTTGGTAAAGGAGAGAGCATCACAAAGGTGGAAGGCCCTCAGCAAGATGGATTGACACAGCGGATGCAGCAATGGGCTCAAGGGTAGGAACAATTGTGGGGGTGGCCTATGTCAGGCAGTGTTTCCTTCTGCTGTCCACAGGGTAACCCTGGGTTGGAGACAACTGGAGAACATTCAGAACTGACTTGATGGCAGTGGGTCCTCAGCAAACATTTGACAAACGTTTTTGAGGAAATGGTGGAGACTACATCTAAGGAGGCAAAATCAACGCCACATCTGTCCAATTACAATTGCTATGAGGCAGAGGTCAGGCATACTTCCGTACTCCAACCTCCTTTATCCTATTATGATGAAGGCTGTCCCTTTCAGGAAGCTCCACTTCACGGGGTGGTGGTGGAACAATATTTTGTTGCCTTGGGCAGATCAAATTCATAACAATGCTCCCTATTATAGGATTTACTAGGGGAAGCTGGCAGGTCACAAATGTGAGGGAGGCAGTTCTTGCAGCACTTCTCAGGAATGCTGCCAGGTCTCTCTCGTGTGCTCAGCTTCTCCTCCACATGATCCCTTGGCTTCTGCTTCATTCCATTGTCCATGGTCTGTTGTTCACAGTGGTTTTTCCCCCACCCTGATTTCTGCTTCTGAGATGGTTCACACTTATTTTCAGAAGAATGATAAAATTGACTCATCCCTGAGTTAGAGCCTTACACACCCTATTTGCATGTTCCCACCTAGTCATTGGGTGGGAATCCCAAAGATTATGTACAGTAGAACAACACCAAGTAATTTCACTTTGCTGAAATTTAAAGAAGATAGGATCATTTCTAGTGAAAAAGACAAGCAACTTAAACTAGTAATGATCGTACTGTGAAAAGTGCCTGACAGCCTGGGACACCAAGGAAGCATAGAAACAAAGTCGCTGGGGCAGCCTGAGGGCCCTGGAAAGTTGTCCAGAAGACACAATTCTCAACCAAGTCACCACTGTTTCTGCAGTTACTCATGTTTTATTACATCACTCTCTTTTCTAAAACGCCCATACCAACTGCAGGTGAGTTTATTTTACTCGTGTACAAGATTCTTTAGATGAAATCAGTTCAGGAGCAGACAGCCACATCTTTCTCCCATGGCAGGGCAGCTGGGTTTGAAACACTGACCTCATTGTTAGCAGCTCAGTACTTACCCCCCAGCAACACCTTGGCTCTTTCTTTACTTCAATAGCTGAGGAGAGCTCTCATGTGAGCTGTCTGATAAATCTAAAACTAAAACATGGTAATAAACCCCATGCTTCTTCTTTTTTATTAGACAAGTA